GAGCGGGAAACGGCTCCCGAGCGCAGCTGAGAGGGCCACGATGGGGGGATCGTGGTGGGGATAGACGTAAGGATATAGCCCAGGGGTATAGGGACAGGGATGTAGGGGTAAAGGATACAGTCGAGGCGTTGACCTAAGGAACCCCAAATAAGGAACGAGGCCCCTTTTTTCCATGTGTTAAGCTTCGATTTCCGATCGAAGACATAAGGAAAATCTGAGGCAAGCTGCGAAACACTTACGGAACGCGGAGCCCCTCCCCAACGAAAAGGGTTCCTTCTTCATGGCCCCGACTGTACGGATCTGGATCGGACGGTGATCTGCCGGCCCCCTGGGGGGGGGGGCAAACAGCTGCGAGGCGTAGGCTGTCCAGCTCCCTGCGCCCATTCCTAGTTCTAGGTCGGGCATGTCCTCCTACAGGCGGGTTTTGGAAGAGTCCTATAAGATAGTCAAAACAAAATCGAAAATGGTCGAAAGAGCACGAAGCATCGTCCCCAGACAATGTTTAAACTGCTCTTGAAGATTCCTCCTGAAGAGGGACGCGCCCGACGGAATCCTGGCTCACCGGTGTGCTAATTATGGATCGGAGTCCCCAGCAGCGCTGGCACTCGGGAGCCCTTGCCTCTTTCCTGCGAGCAGGGCCCGTGCGCGGCCCAAAGCAGCCCCGTTCCCCGAGCACGTCGCCGCAGCATGTCCAGATCGAAGGCCCCTGTCTGCAGGTCCCGCGGTCCCGTTCCCCTCCAGCGCCGCCGCCCCGTCGATGCGTTGCCGTCGCGTTGCAATGCAGCCGCATTGCATCGCACAGCAATCGCACTGCACTCGCATTGCGATCGCATTGCACTGTTTTTTTGCGTGGCGTTGCAACCGCATCGCAGTGCGATCGCGCTGCAATGCGTTGCAATTGCGTTGCGCTGCGTTGTGTTGCTTTCCGTTGCTTTGCGTTCATTGCATTGCTTTGCAATGCTTTGCAATGTTGTGCCCTGCTTTGCATTGCTGTGCATTGCTGTGCACTGCAACGCACTGCTGCGCACTGCTGTACATTGCTGCGCATTGGTGCGCATTGCTCGCCTCTGCTTCGCACTAACCCCGGGAAGCAAACAGTAACCCCCCGACGATATCGTTAGCACAGAAAACAAAACAAATAACTATTTTGGGCGGCGCCCTCTGGCGATATCGTTAGCACATAAAAAATAGCATAAAACAATTAATTAATTTGCCCCCCGGTGCCGGAAGCGTTATAATTTCCTCTGATGAAGGGGGAGGGAGGGGCGGTTACTGATTGCTTCCCAGGGTTAGTTCGCATGGTTTCTGCATCCCATTACGCAGCTTTACATTGCTCTGTGCCACATGGACTGCACCGCCTGTGTTGCACCACCTAGCTTGCACCACACTCGCTGCACCACCCAGATTGCATCGCATGGACTGCAACGAAACCACTGGTTGGGGCCCACGCGGGCTAACGTCTGCTACGTCCACGATGGTACCCATCAAAGTCCGCGCGAGGGGAACCGCGCGCTCCGGAGGCCACAACCTCTCGAAAACTACGACGCGCCACCGTGGCCGCCATCCCTCGCAAATTGCACCAGGTTCACGTTCCCGAGGCCGCAACCCTTTGTGCACTAAAGCCAGGTTCGCTCTCCTATCCTTTTTGAATGACTCCGGGCTCGCGCTCCCCACGCCACAACCAGCCCCTCCAAAATGACTCCAGACTCGCGCTCTGGAAGCCACGATCCCTTGTCAACTGCGCCAGATCTGCTCCCTGGAAGCTACGACTCAAATACATTACACTCGACTCGCGCTCCCCAAGCCACCATCCTGCATGAATGACTGCAGGCTCGCGCTCCCGAGGCCACAATCCATCGTAAATTACGCTGGGCTCTTGCTCCAGAGGCCACGACCCCTTGCAAATCACGCCAGCATCGCGCTCTCGAGGCCCAAATCAGTCGGAACTTACGCCGGACTCGCGCTCCCCAAGACGCAGGCCGCAGCAGCTGACTCCCCAGGCCACAGGTCCCCACCCACGCTCCCCGAGCCTCAGTCCCTTGCAAGTTGCGCCAGATTCGCGCTCCCCTGGCCAGCCCCCTGCAAATCACACCCGATTCGCGCTCCAGAGGCCGCAACCCCTTGCAGAGGACACCAAAAGTTCGCGCCTTCGACACGACGGCCCTTCGAAAAATCCCTGCGCGCCGGCGCAGCCGAGGCCACGGGGCCACACCCCGCGGAGGCTGCCCGCAAGCGCCACGCGCGCTGCCCCGTGAGCTGCTTGTGCCCATCCTCCTGGGCGGGTGATCCTCGATCCTCTTACCAGCCTGGAACATACACGTCGGTCGGAAGAAGTAGGCAGGAGCATGAAGTAGAAAGGCGGATATAGTAGATTGGGTCCAGGTCCTCCCAGGGAATAACAACAGCAAAAGCATGCCGATTCTTGAAGTAGGAAGGCGCTTGAAGTAGATTGGGATCTGGGAATTCAGTAATACCTACTTCCAACGACTGGCGTGTATCCCTATCTCTATGCTGCATATGCTGGACATCGTCTCATCACGGTGCCAATCTCAGGGATTCCCGTAGCTTTTGAGGGCGCATCCCCAAGATTGCCATCGCACTCTGGCGTGTCGACCATGGGGATAGGGAGTTAAGTTCGAGGCTGGTGATCCTCTGTTCGCCGCGGGGCGACGGGGACACGAGTCCTCGAGCGCCATCGCCTTCAGGTTCGCGAGGCGGGCCCGGCGCTCGGCCGCCGACTGGTACAGCTTGTCCCTGCCCGCCCTCCGGTCCTCCCCGCCCCCGGAACCCTCCCGCCCCGGAGCCCCCTTGCGTCGCGGAGGAGCCAAGACGGACGGGTCCTGCGGGCCTCTCTCGGCCCCTCATGCAGGAGCCCTCCAGGAGACCCCCGGCAGTCGCCCCGTCGCAGCAGAGAAGAGCCGGACGGCTGTCACCACCGAGGCGTGAGACGCAGCATCGCCGGACAAGCCAGGAACGCCACGCGCGATCCCTCAAGGAGCCCCGAGGGATGACCCGTCGCCGGGGATGGGGCTCGGGACCTCCGGTGGAGTCCACGTTTACAACTGCTTGCAAGCTCTCGGGTGGGGCGTGTGGGGCCGTTCTCCTGCATGAGATCTCTCCTCCTTCCAGACAGCTCGGGTGTTGCCAGAAGTGCCCCTGGCCCAAGGTGCCTCCAGGATTTCCACGGAGGCCTCCGCGGCCTCCAGATCACTCCTCACGAGGCCCAGAGGGCCCCAGGGACTCCAAAATGAAGCGAGAAGCTGGGGGTACCTTGGGCCAGGGGCACCTCTATCAACCCCCGAACGAGAGTCCTCCTCGTCGCGTCGGCCGGAAATGCCCAGCGCTTCGGCTGAAGCTCCCTCACTGCTCACCACCTCGAAGCCTGAGATCTCCCACGCAGACACGGATGGAGGGCGGTGTGTGTGTGTGTGTTGTGTTGTGTGGCTTGTTGTGTGCTGTACGTTGTGTGTTGTGTGCTGTCTGTTGTGTGTTGTGTGTTGTGTGTTCTGTGTTGTGTGCTGTGTGCTGTATGTTGTGTGGTGTGTGCTCTGTGTTGTGTTTGCGTGTGTTGTTTGTGTGTGTGTGTTTGCGTGTTTGTGTGTGTTTGTGAGTGCGTGTGTGTGTCAAAGCTGTGCGTCTCGCCTCTCCAACGTGTTTGTGTGTTTGTGTGTATGTGTCAAAGCTGTGTGTGTGTTTGTGTTGTGTGCTGTGTATTGTGTTATATGGTGTGTTGTGTGTTGTGTGTTGTGTGCTGTGTGTTGTGTGTGCTTGTGTGTTTTGCGTATGTTGTGTGTGTGCGTGTGTGTGTGTGTGCGCGTGTGTGTGTGTGTGTGTGTATGTGTCAAAGCTGTGTGTCTTGCCTCGGCGACGCGCACTCTCCAACGGTTGCACGAATGGAGAGGGCCAGTCGTCGTAAAAAGGTGGCTCTTGCCTCTCGCCCCAGCGCCGCGCGCATGGGCCTGGCAAGTTCCCCAGCAGTTGAACGGATGGAAGGCGGCTCCTATTCAGAGTGACGCTCTCGCCAGAGATCCCCTCGGGTACTATGATCAGAGCTGAGAGAGCTGTGCAACAATCTCGCGGACCTAAGGTTTCCTCCCAAGACGGAGGTGTCGCTTGAGAACTGGCAGGTTGTTTGATATGCCACTAGAAGTGGAGAATTGGCCGACGGGAGCACGGACGAATGGAGGCTTCGTTTCAAAACAGGGCTCTCGCTCGACAGGTCCTTGGACGTTCTGACCGCACCTTGTTGCAGCTCCTGCAGCTGGACGGATGGGGCCATACCCTTCTCTAGGCAGAGCCCTTCCGCCAGGACGGCGCACCCTCTGGGGCGCTGGTCTTGCGAACGCGCGCTTCCCGAAATGAGATGCTCCTCCGCCTCCCCACTCCTCCTCCATCCCCCTCCACCTCGGCAATATCTCACCAGATTGGAGGCTAAGTGTCCTGAGCTGCTTAGCCTAGCAAGGCTGAGCTGCCCCGTCGCTCTGACTGTGGTATAGCTCCCCTTCCTCCTTCCTCCTCCTCTCTCCCCCTGCCCCTTCCTCCTGCTGCTCCCTTCACCCTTCCTCCTCCTTCTCCTCCTCCTCCTCCTCATCATCATCATCCCCCTCCTCCTCCTCCATCCCTCCTCGTCGGCATGTGTCCATCAATGGGTCGGGCAAAATAGGAAAGGCGGTCCTGGAAGGCATGTTTGAAGCCGTTGGGAGCCCATCGAGCAGACCGCTCTGATCCCTGATCACGTCTTCTGTCAGGGTGTTCCCTCCCTCCCCTTGATTAGCAGTTAAAGGACTCCTGACTCGTTGGGAGCGGGCCTTACTTAAGAGGCCCAAAATAGTAGGTATAGGGGATCTGCTCTGCAGACGTATCTAACCAAAGCGCCCAGATCTTTTATCCCTAACGCAAGCACGGGAACCGAAGTTAGGCTACGACTTCATTGCGTTGTGAGGATCTCGGGTGTGCGCAGACATCGATTAGCGATTCATGGATTTGGCCCGCGGTCGCCAAATCCATAGATCGTGGGAGGTGCCCTCCCCCAAACGCGGCCGGTGCCGCCTCGCCCGGACCGAGACGGGATCCGTCGCTAATCCACGCCCCCTTTGATCCATGTTTACGATCGCCTGAGGATCAGGGGCTCTATTATGCTCGCTGACTCCCCCACCCCTCCCCCTTCGTCTCGTTGCCCTCCTCGCCCAATAGGGGGCATCGTCTCCCGACGCCTATGCCTCGCCTCTCCTGCCAGCGCCTGCCTGCATCACTGCACCCCTGCCTGCGCGGTGCCACCATTCATCAGATCCTTTTCCCGTCAACAAAACAAATTGATAGCACGGTAGAAGGACACACTTAGTTCACACGCACCCGCTCCCCCACACTCGACGTTGGCACGCGCGGGAAAGACTGCGGTCGAAGTGCAGCTCATTCAACCCACCGCCAACATTGATCATTGGGAGGAGGGGAGCATTGACAAATGAATGCGGCACGAGTGTTCGCTAATTTCGTCGGAGGCCTGTAAGGATGCGCGATAAGAATGCAAGCCCCTTGTACGCCCATGTCGAGGCCCTTCGAGCGGGGCTGGCCAGTGAAAGTGAGTAAGGATGGACCGAAGAGGCAAGCATTCAAGGTTACCCTTGGGAAGCTGACCCATCCTTACCATCGGTTTCGACTGCAGTTGTCCGTGAGATTTTGATGAAAACACCGCTTGCATCTAGCAACAGCGCCGCTTGAAACAAGTTGGTCCGATGCGTCTGCTCTGCATGAGCTGCCGCGTTCCGCAGTCATGATGCTGATGCTGGCCAGCACTGCACTGTAGAATATCATCAGGCATACAACGCTGCAACACCACTTCAATCACCTCGACGAGGTATTCCGTGACATTTGCACTGCCGTTGCATATCCCAAATTCACGTATCAGCATTGACGACTGATTACTGGTGAGCACCCCTCCTCAACGGCCGCTGGAGGCCGGAATCGCAGAAAAGAAAAAGAGCAAAAACGTTCGCAGAGCTGTTGCTTTTCACGACGCCTGGAGGCATGAGGTCTGATCCTCCTCCTGTCTCCCCCCCCCTCTCCACCGGCGTTTCAAATTTTCGTAACGCTTGAGCAGGGACCGACCGTCCCGGCATTCCTATAGTCATACCACGGAATTGCTTTAGAACCCGAAAATGATCTGAGACCCAAAAAATGTTTAAAACATAAGCCCGATGTGTTAAAACAAGACAATCTCAACTAGAGATGTTCTAATAGCACTTCGTAGAAACCACAAACGGTTCTTGGAAAATTGTTTGGTAGGGCAATAGGCGAGCCAGGACGCTTCGCCGCTGCTTGACCCAGGGATCTCGATCCTGGACCCCAGTCTGGGGATTATTTTTTGAATTTTGCTTGACCTTTTTGGGGCATTTTTGGAGTACTTATTATTCTTCGTCGAAAATCCCCCTGTAGGGGGACAGGCCCGACTTAACCCCAGGGCCCGGCTCTTCATCCTCAACTGATGTGTCCCGTCTCGGCACCGGGCATCCGCCTCAAGAGACTGCGGCCGAGAGCGTCTAGACAGCAGCCTGCCGACTACAGGGCAGTTTTTAATACGTAGGATGTTTGAAAATATTGGATGTTTTAATACATGATCAATTCATGAATAAATGTATGCATGAACTCATCGTTGTTTTAAGTGCTACATCCCCGCATGTTTGATACACGATCCGCACGCGGAGCATGCATAAAAATCGGCACTGTACCAACATTATGATGCGATCGCAGGTGATACACCAGAGGTCTCTACCCCCTCGCCAGGGCCAGCTTGTCATCCCGAGTAATTTTTTGGACGGTCTCGGGGCCTGGTAGAAAGTTGGCGGTGCGCACAGGGGGGTGGAGGGAGGGGGGAGGGCTTCTTAGAAGGAGGCTGCTTCTTAGAAGGCGCCAGCCCTACATCTATAGAAAAGGCCCACGCCTTCTAAGAAGCAGGGGTGCTTGTAAGAAGCCCTCCCCCCTCCCCCCACCCACATGTGCGCGTGCCGACAATTGACAAATGACAATTGACTATTGACAAACAAAACCAGAAGCCGCCACGACAGATCAAGGCACGCATAAGCCGACAATTGACACACAAAACCTTTTCGTCTCGGTTTGTTCACGAGGCGAGGGAGTGTACCTCTCCCCCTGGGTCAACAAACATCGGCGTGTGGTCCTGTCCTGGGGAGCATTTTGGGGGGGGGATTTCGAAGCGGATCCAGCCATAGCCACGAGAAGCGTCCAGAAGGCCAGAAAAGAAGCCCAACACTTCCAACAAACTCGCCACTCCATATCGAATCCGAACACGTCGAGAAACCAGCCGCCACAAATGTGTTACTGCGACGCTGGGGTCTTTGACAAAACCAGCCACAACCATGATGGCATGAGAAAAACGACACGCTGGCACAGCGTACCAAACAATCCTGGAGTCATGTGCGAGCCGGCATGCAGAACCTTCGGGTGCGCAGTAAAACCAGAGCGTGCGCCCGCCTTCGGCGAAGGTGCAAGGCTGTCCCATGGACCTGGCTCAGATGAAATGCAGGCCCCGCTGGATTCGACTCGTGAGGATGGATGTTAACAGGTGGCCCCCGAGTTGCGAAACTACTGCGGCGCGGAGATCCGATGGCCCCACCCCCTGGGCGCGCCAGACCGGCGGACCGCTGCGCTCCGTCGCGTTGTCGCTGAAGTAGCCGCGGGGCGTGTGCGAGTCGCACCTGGCTGGCTCTCTCGGGCACGGCGGGCTCGTGTTGAGGCGAGCCCTGCGCTGGTCTCTGATACCGCGTGGATCGCTCGAGGCGGTTACATGCGCAACCGTCCAGTGATCTCCAACGTGCAGCCTGATCGAGAGATTCTATTGCTGCAGCAGGGAAGGGTACAACGGGCACCAGAAGTCTCGCTCTTGCCTTCGCCGATCGGCGGCTTCCCGATCGCAAGGTCGTTCCGCCCTGGCCGAGCATGGGCCACCGGCAGCGCCTGACCCTGGAACGCCCGCGCTGGGATCGCCGCCGCGTCGACACGGCGCGAGCATGCCGTGCACGCAGGAGGGTGGCGCCGAGCAGGAGAGTGGCCTCTGGGTACGCGGCGTTCGCGGAGCGCGTGGGGGGGGGAGGGGGGCAAACCCGGGCGAGGGAGCCGCTGCAGTCGGACTCGATGGGACAGGACACGCGAGAGGACACGAGACCCGTCCGAGGCCCACACTGCCACAGGAATGGAGGAAGCATGGGTCGCGAGACGCAGGACACAAGGGTGCCCTCGATGGGGCAGGGCCGACCTACGAATCTGGGCCGACTGCACTGCCGCTTCACGTTCAGCGATCGGAGGAACCCCAAGTGGGCCCGCACCAAGGGCCGCTCTCTCTGGAGGGGCGCTCGGGCGTCGGTTCTTCGCCGCGCTACTCTCGAAAATGCCGTGGCCAGCGTGCGCCGCCGCGCCGCTGTCCACGAGCATCGCAGGCAGACGGAGGAGGAGCGAGGGAAAGGAGGAGGGGAAGGAGGGGAAGCGGCCAGAGTGCTGTGCGGGAGTCCCCTGCGGCCCATACGGCTGCACATATCTCTATATACATGTGCACAAATATAGCCAACGCAACAAATTTCAACGGCAGCTCGAGGGGAAGGGGGAGGAAGGGGGGGGATAATGACAAGAGTGAGGGAGAGAGAGAGAGAGAGAGACGACGACGACAAAGACGAAGCAAGAACCCTGAGGGCGGCAATTCACACACACACACACGCAAAGACAAACACACACACATACACATACAGGAAATTCGCTATGTGTCTACGTTTATGGATGCGTATACATACATACATACATACATACATACATACATGCATGCATGCATGCATGCATACAAACGTGCATACATGCATGCATACCTATACGACCACACTTCGAGTGATAAGGAGGTTCGGGGGGGGGGGGAGGAACCAACGTCTCACTCGATCGGCCTCACTATCGATCTCACTATCGATCTCACTATCGGTCTCGCTCGATCGATCTCCCTCGATGGATCTCACAATCGATTTCACTCGATCTATGTCATTCGATCGATATCACAATCGATCTGACGATCGATCTCACAATCGATATCACTATCCATCTCACTATCGATCTCACAATCTATCTCACATTCGGTCTCACTATCGATCTTCGGTATCACAATAGATCTCACAACCAACGTCATCATCACCATCACCATCACCGCCATCAACGTCATCAACATCATCATCATCATCATCATCATCATCATCACCATCATCATCATCATCATCATCATCATCATCATCATCATCATCGACATCATCGGGACAGCAAAATCATCATCACCTCACCACCATCATCATCAACATCATCTTCATCATCGTCACCATCGGGCCACCATCATCGTCACCATCACCAACATCTACATCATCACCGGGACACCATCATCATCAACACCGGAACACCACCATCATCATATCACCATCACCATCATGAACAACATCACCAACATCATCATCATCGGGACACCATCATCATCGCCACCATCATCATCACCATCATCATCACCGGGACACCATCATCATCATCATAAACATCAGCATCATCATCACCATCATCGGGCCACCATCAAAATCATAATCATCATAATCACCCCGTCAACATCCTCATCATCAACATCATCATCATCATCATCATCGGGACACCATCACCGTCGTCATCCTCACCAACATCATCATCAGGACACCATCATCATCACCATTACCATCAACAGCATCATCATCAGCCGCATAATCATCATCATCGGGACACCATCATCATCATCCTCATCATCATCTTCATCATCGTCATCATCTCATCATCATCTCATCAGCATCAACATCATCAGGATCAACCGCTACATCACCATCGGGACAACATCATCACCATCATCAGCAACACCATCATCATCAACATCATCATCATCGGGACACCATCATCACCACCATCACCATCATCATCAACATCATCCACATCGTCAACATCATCATCATCATCATCATCATCATCACCATCATCGGGACACCATCATCATCATCACCACCATCACTCACCATCATCATCATCATCATCATCATCATCATCACCATCCCGCAGCCGGCCCGGCGTGCGCCTCGAGGAATCTCGAAGCGGCCAAGAAGTCAGACGAAGCCAGGGCAGGGAGGAAGCTCGGGTGAGGATAAATCGGGCATCTCGAAGGATGTCTCGGGCGCCGCGGCCTCCTCAGAGCGCTCCGAAACGCTCTTGGAGCGTTCCAGAGCGCTCTGGAAAGGATGTGTCCTCGTCCAAGCCCCGTCCGACAGGGGCACAAATCGAGAGGCAAAGAGTACGCCACGAAACATATATATACATATATGTATACACACACAAGCACCCGCGGACGAATTTTGCCTGTACCTTCAGGGAGGGTGGCGATGTAGAAAGTCGCTGCTTGGGAGCGTCTTAGACCATCCTTTCGCATTCTGGGGGCTCCTGGGAGGCGTCTTGGACCCTCCTGGGGCGCTGTGGAGACTCCCCGGAAAAGTCCTTTGAGTTCTGCACGCAAGCGGAATGCGTGCGTGCGTACATGCGCGCATGCATGTATACACGCGTACGTACATGCACGCTCCGTATAAATGTCTAGGTATACACAATGTACTTACATTGTTGTATGTGTGTACAGCGTACATATGTACATATAAACTTATATGTGTAAGGGTATGAACATGCATATGCAACTCGTACGGGGCATCCTCGGGCATCTTCGCTGCATGCCACGAGACCCTCAACGACTGGGTCACAATGTGAAATGTCATGGGAGCAAAATCAATGAATGTTGGAATTCGGAAGCATCGTGGGGGTGTTTTCGCGGCCCTCGTGGGCCGTTTTGGCGCCTTCATGGGCCGTCCTGGGGCCTTCTTGGGCCGTCTTGGGGAGCTTGGGCCCGCTGGAGCCCCCTTTGGACCCATCTTGGGCACTTCCGGGGACCTCCCATGGCCCTTTTGGGTCTGTGCTGGGAGCCCTTGGGGGGCCTCTTGGTTCCATTATGGGCTGTCTTGGGGCTCTCGTGGGCGATCGTGGGGCCCGGCTCGGCCGTCTTGAAGCTTTCTCAAGGGCCTTTTGGGGCGTCTTGAGGCGATCTTGGAGGCTTTGAAACCGTCTTGAAAGCTGATGAAATCCGAAAGGCGAATCTGCTAAAATTGTAAGTTTTACGAAGGGAATGGGACGACTTTTGTGCTTTGAAGGCCCCTTGGAAAGCTTTTTGGGGTGCCTTGGGGGTCTTGATGTTGGCATTCGGAAACATCGGGGTGTGTTTTCGGGGCCCTCGTGGGCCGTTTTGGCGCCTTCATGGGCCATCCTGGGGCCTTCTTGGGCCGTCTTGGGGAGCTTGGGCCCGCTGGAGCCCCCTTTGGACCCATCTTGGGCACTTCCGGGGACCTCCCATGGCCCCTTTGGGTCTGTGCTGGGAGCCCTTGGGGGGTCCCTTGGTTCCATTATGGGCTGTCTTGGGGCTCTCGTGGGCGATCGTGGGGCCCGGCTCGGCCGTCTTGAAGCTTTCTCAAGGGCCTTTTGGGGCGTCTGGAGGCGATCTCGGGGGCTTTGAAACCGTCTTGAAAGCTGATGAAATCCGAAAGGCGAATCTGCTAAAATCATAAGTTTTACGAAGGGAGTGGGACGATTTTTATGCTTTGAAAGCCCCTTGGAAAGCTTTTTGGGGTGCCTTGAGGGTCTTTGGGCCGTCCTGACGCAATTGGAGTCCCTCTTGGAGCGCTCTTGTGCTGTCTGGGGCCTCCCTTGAGCCTTTCTGATGACCCCTCGGATCGCTCTGGGTCTGCTGGCAAGGCGTTTGTGGAGACCCGGAAAGCCGGGTGACCTTTTCCAAGGACGTCCAAGTGAGCCCGAAAACCCCAGATCCCGGGGGTCCAGTTTTTGGGGGGGGGATGGGTTTCCCCCCCCCCGGCTTGTAAAAATATAGGAAGAGGAATGTGTGTGTGTGTGGCGGAAAGAGGTGCCGATACTGATATACCACAGGCAACTCCCAGGGTGCGCTCTGGCCCGAGCTCCGCGGAGAGTTCGCCCGTGGCGCTCGACCTCCAAGATAATGCAACCCAGGAGGGCGGTCGATCGTCGAAGGAGGGCGGCGGACCCTCTCGTGCGGTGCCCACGTTTCGGCGCCAGCGGGCGCAGCCGGCCGGCGTGTCGACACCGCTCAGGTCGGTGTCGTCGAGCTCTTGGTAGGCGAGGCCCTGCAAGCCTCCCGTCCCTCCCGTGTTCCCCGCCCTTCCAGGAGCAGGGAAGGAGAAGGACCAGCGGCGCGCCGAGGGAGGCTTCCCAGCCAACCTGTGGTGTCGGGCCCTCGTTTTGAAGAAACAGCGCCCCGCGTTCCCGTCCTTCTCTCCCCCTCCCCCTCCTCCCTGCTCCCATCCCTGGCACCCCTCACACGCTTCGTGGCCCCACAGGGAACTCCACCGAAGGCCCAGGTGGCAGGGCTCGCATGCGGTTCCACCCCCAATGTGGGCACACCTCTCACACGCTTCGTGGCCCCATAGGGAGCTCTGCCGAAGGCCCACATGGCAGGGTTGGCATGCGGTTCCACCCCCAATTCCGGCACACCGCTCACACGTTTCGTGGTCCTACAAGGAGCTCCACCGAAAGAAGGCCCCCATGGCAGGAATCGCATGCGATTCTACCCGCAATTTCGACACACCCCTCACACGTTTCGTGGCCCCATATGGGAACTCCAGGGAAGGCCCCAATGGCAGTGTTCGCTTGCGGTTCTACCTCCATTTCGGCACACCCCTCACACGTTCCGTGGCCTCATAGGGAGCTCCACCGACGACCCCAGTGGCAGGGTTCGCGTGCGGTTCCACCCCCATTTCGGCACACCCCCCACACGCTTCGTGGTCCCGTAGGCAGCTCCACCGAACGCCCCAGTGGCAGGGTTCGCATGCGGTTCCACCCCCTTGTCGTCCCATCTCTCGCGTGTCTCGTGGCCCCATCGGGAGCTCCACCGAAGACGATACTTACAACTGCGGCACTCACAGCTGCATAGGGTTGGTTCGTTCTCCTGGCTAATTTTCTCGCCGAGGGAGGAAGTGAGAGGAGGCAGGTATCGTTAGAAGATGGCGGGGCTTGTTAGAAGCCCTCCAGCCGTCTGAGACGCCCCCTCTGTCCTCGGAGAAAGCTTCGAAAGCTTCTCAGCAGGCCCTGTGCCTTCTGAGCCTTCTGCAAGACCCGCCCCCTCGGCCTTGCCCCCTGGGCGCACTACCGAGAGTACCAGGAGCATCAACAACTCTCGCCAAAAACGTCATTCTTCAATGTCGTCCTCCTGGGGCCTATTTTGCATCAGAAATCACAAAAATCACTCCAGAAGAACGCATGGCAGGATGGACCCCAGAAGGGTCCGGGGAACGAATTAGACCAGATTTCTGATGATCTTGAGCGTTCTGCGTGGTTCTGGCAGGTTTGAGGGTCCTGAGGGTACCGGCTTCTCCTCGAAGAGGTGGCGACCCTGCTGGTGACCCCCTTGACAAGGGCCGCTCACGGCGACAGCAAAGCCGAAACCGACCAAACCGACCGCGAAACCGACTCCGACCGAAACCGACAGGCTGCATGCAGCCCAGAGGGGCGAAGCGACGCGGCAACGACACACCAACCGACCGCAACCGACCGCAACCGACTGCGAAGCAACCGAACCGACCGAACTGCGAGCACCCTTGTTGGCACTTGCCTGGGAGGGGGAAGAGCATCGACCCAATCGCGCCCAGATCGGGGGGAACTCCCTGTGTGCCCGAACTGGGCCCGCGGTTCGTCTCCGCTGCCCCGCGCGTCACCCCCCCTGCTTCTCCCACCGCCTCCTCCTCCTCCTCCTCCTCCTCCTCCTCCTCCTCCTCCTCCTCCTCCCCCCTTCTCCTCCCGCCTGCTTCCCGCCTTCTCTCCGTGATTTCTCCCCCCCCGCTACCCCTCCTCCTCCCTCCTCTCCTCCCCGCCTGCTTCTCCCCCCGCCCCTGCTCTCCGCACGTCTGCTGTGTCATCGCCACCGCCCGCCCTTGCGCCGTGCCCCCACGGGGAGCCCCCCGTCCACGGCTCCAGCGGGCGCGGAGTCGTGCCGCGCCCCGCCCAGCACCCGGACGCCCCCGACGTCATGATCTCTGCCCTGACGTCAGACCCCCAGAGGTCTCGACCCATTCCCCATGACCGGCTCTTCATCCTGAGTCAGTTTTGACGGTCCCGAGGCCAGGCAGGGGCCCTCAGAGGACGAAATAAGCGAAACACCTCCCGTCGTGTGTTTTTCCATGACCCGAGGGGTTCTGGGCACGGCGCATCCCTTACACGCCTGGCGTCCGCACATCGAGCCCCACCTGCGGCCTGGGAGCGCCCGCAGCCGGACCTCCGCAACATCTTGGCGCACCCACCGCGCGGGTCGCGCCTCGTGGGGAGCTCCACCGACGGCCCCAGCGTTTGGACGCCCGAAATGGGTACGGAAAAAATGGGCACAATGCCCAACAACAAATGTTGTCCCAAACCGACAGCGGCCGCTGTTGGGCAGGCGGCCTTCTGGCTCAAACGGACACAGGCCGCGGCTGCGCGGACAGCGAGCCCTGTTCAAAATGAACAGGAACTGCTCTTGGGCACTGTACCCCTTGTCTCTGTACCCATTTCCGGCGTGCGGACAGCGGGCCGGCTCGCACGCGGCCTCCCGCCCATGACGGCACGCCTCTCGCGCGGGCCGTGCCCCACGGGGAGCACCCGTGGCCCCGGTGGGCGTCCTCGCGTTCGGGCCTCCGCCCGCTTCGGCACGCCCCCCCCACGCGGGCAGTGCCCTGGGCCCCTCGGGCGCTCCGCGCGCCTGCCCCGCACAACCCCCACGGCAGCTGCGGCAGACGTGCGCTGCGACGACCCCGGCGCTGATTTCCGCGTGGATCCTTCCTCCCTCCTCCTCCTCCCTCCCCCTCCTCCTCCTCCCTCCTCCTCCTCCTCCTCCTCCTCCCTCCTCCTCCTCCTCCTCCCCCTCCCCCTCCTCCTCCTCCTCCTCCTCCTCCTCCCTGGCGGGGCGTGCCGCCCCCGCCCCCTCCGTTCTCGGCCACCGAGCCGGGGCGCACCCGGTCCGGGCCCGGCCGCGGCAGCCCCACGCGGAAGAGCCACTCGATGTCCTGGGCGGGCCGAGCCGAGAGGGCCGTGCCGCCGGCTCATGAGGCGGCCACCCGGGGGGGGGGGGGGCAGAAGCGTGCTGCTCCCATCGTACTTACGGACCACATCCCAGAAATAATTTCGAGCACCCGGAAAAGTGTCGAAAGAGTATCGAAAGAGTGTCGAAACAGTGTCTCCCAGGGCCCGACACGAGAAAACCCCGAGTTTCGGTATTTTGCTGGTGCTCGAAATTCTTTCAGGTGGTCAAGGCTAAAGTAGTTTGGGACATCATAAGGTTAGAAGTGGATGCGCAGGGTTGTCATGTCTGGCCCAGCCTGTCTCACACGGATGTTACACGCGCGCTAATGCATGGCTTCGGGGGTTAGATCACTCCGCGAAGTGGGCGGAGGCCAACTTAGCCCGGATCGTAAACCTCCTGAGCCATTTGGGGCACCTGTAGCCCACTTATGAGATAGGTTCGACCAGACACAACCACCTTGGCATCCGCTTCTACGTCCCCTATCCCCTTAGCAGCCGCCGCGGCTATCGCAGAGGGAGCGCAGCACAGCTGCGCGCGGGCCCAAACATACTCGACGCCGGCGACGGGCCCCGCGTGCCGGACGCTGGAAACCCTGAGCCCACACATGTTGCCATCCCCCGGGGGCGCATGTTTTACTTCCGCCGGCTTCCGCGGGCGGAGCCGCGCCCTCGTCTTACGTTCGCCGGCTTCCGCGGGCCTTCCGTCGCCTCCCACCGGGGAAGAGAAGGCAACTCCTTCGGTCCTCGAAGGCGAGGGACTTTCTGGTACGCCTCGCACAGAAGGGCAGAACAATCACCCTCATAGTAAGCACCCCGACAAGGGAAGCCTTTCGGCAAGCGCACCTGCAGGGAGGGAACCAAGCAGGGGGCAGAGCTGTTCAGCAAACGCCCAGGGCTCTGCAGCAAACGTCTGTGATGAGGGTCGGGGTGGTTTTCCTCCGTCGACTCCAGGGCCCAGGTCTACCCGAAATCGTTCCCTCAGACACGCCGACCCCGGCGTCCGATCGAAACTCTGGCCAGAGCAGCAGCTCGAATTCACGCGGTCCAGCGCGTGTCGCACAGCCGAGGGGGAGAAGGAAGAGGGGGGATGGGAGAGAGGCGAAAGCGCAAAGCGGGCAGTCAGGGGAGACATGGAGAGGGAGGTGTGTTGGGGGGGGGGGGGGGGGGAAATCGAGGCCCCCCGGTGTACTGGCATGGTGGCCCCCTAAAAGCCGCTCCGGCGCCGCAGGACAAACCAAAGACTGGCCCGGAGCAGAAACCGCGCCCGGGGAAGCTGGCGAGAGCCCTACGGGGGCCACCGGTGGCCCGACGGCGGCCCCGAGACACCCCCCAAGGCGGCCTCCGTCGTCGCCAGGCGGCCCCACGGGGTCGCAAGACGACCCTGTTGGCCAGGAAAAAGAAGGAAAGGCGGCACCAGCACCACCGGGGCGAGGAGGCGCGAGGAGGCCAGGGGGGGGTCTCCCTAGGGTGGTGTCGTCCCCTCCCCCCTCGCTCGAGACATCCCCCCGTCTCCAGCTCGGGGGGGCATCGTGGACCTCCTCGCTGGAGATGGGCCCCCTGGTGGTGCTGGTGTCGCTTCTCCTCCCTCCGATGAGACGACCCAAGGAAACCCCCGAGAGGTCCCGAGAGGTCTTCAAGCCCCGGGCAAGCCGCCCCGACCAGGCGTCCGCCCCAGTGAGGCTGGCGGAAACGTGCGGCAGCGCAACTGGCTTAACAAATCTACCAATCGGAGGTCTGGGTTCGAGGATCGAAGTTCCATGCCATCGGAAGTGCCTGGCCCTCTCGGAGCATCCCGAAGCCTCCAGACACCTCTAAGAAACTCCAGAGGCTTCTGGAGACCGCCCCAGACCTCCAGCGGCCTCCGAAGGGAGGGAGGAGGCAGCAGGAGGAGAGGAGAGAGGAGGGAGGAGGAGGAGGAGGAGGAGGAGGAGGAGGAGGAGGAGGAGGAGGAAGAGAAGGAGGAGGAGGAGGAGGAGGAGGAGGAGGAGGAGGAGGAGGAGGAGGAGACCCAGGAGGAGACGCAGGAGGAGCAGGAGGAGGGAGTAGGGAGGAGGAGAGGGAGAAGGAGGGAAGAGAGGCGCAGCGGTACTCGATCGTCGAAGTCTCGCCATGGAAACGTAGGACTGAGAGGGAGGATGAGGAGGAAGCATGGCAGAAGTTTCGCAGGCTTGACCCTCCGGAGTCGCCCTTTGGGGGGCCTAGGACCATCGGAAAAAGGCCCGGGATGAGAACCGATTCTCAGAGAAGGCGCTGGGAGCCCTGGCGGCCCAAGTCGTGAAAACTTGTGGCGTCCAAAGCTCGGACAGCGGTGCAGTCGTACGCGCGTGAAAAAACCATTGGGAGACGCTTGCAAGGACGCCTGAAAAGATGCCTGGGCAGCGTGCAAGCTCGAGAAAGGGAGCTCCACAGGCGCTTCCCGGGAGCTTCGAAGGAGCTGCGGAACGGCTTCCAGCACGCGCACTGGACACGAGTAGGGAAACGCTTCTCGGGACAAGCTGCAGCTTCAAGCAACTCGCCGCGGGGATTCTGGAGCAGCGCCGGAAAGAGCTGACGGGCCACCCTGTGCTGCCGGCTTCTAATCTGAAATCCTCTTAGCTCTCAGAGACCTTCTCCTGGAAAGTATCGCAGCGCCGAAAAGGTCTGGGCAGGACGGCCATCGACACCCCGCTCCATGCCCATGGACAATGGGGACACGTACAAAACACACCAGTTGTCTCACATTCCTCTCACCCTTCCTCCTCCTCCTCCTCCTCTTCCTCCTCCTCCTCCTCCTTCTCCTCCTCTGTATCCTCGTCTGTATCCTCCTCCTCCTCCTGTGCATTCTCCTCCTCCTCCTCCTCCTCCTCCTCCTCCTCTCCTCCGCCTCCCCTCTCCTCCTCCTCCTCCTCCTCCTCCTCCTCCTCCTCTCCTCCTCCTCCTCCTCCTCCTCCTCCTCCTCCTCCTCCTCCTCCTCCTCCTCCTCCTCCCTCCTCCTCCTCCTCCTCCTCCTCCTCCTCCTCCTCCTCCCCTCCTCCTCCTCCTCCTCCTCCTCCTCCTCCTCCTTCCTCCTCCTCCCCTCCTCCTCCTCCTCCTCCTCCTCCTCCTCCTCCTCCTCCTCCTCCCTCCTCCTCCTCCTCCTCCTCCTCCTCCTCCTCCTCCTCCTCCTCCTCCCTTCCTCTCCAGGACCCACGCATACATCACCACCGCGGGCTGGTTTTCTGTCATGGGGGTTGACCAGATTATTGTTTCGGCGGTGGGTTGCAGGGTGCGTCAAATCTCGCGTTAATGACATGTCGCGGGGCCCCGCATCCTCCTCCTCACCTCCCAGTGGCCCCCCCTACAGAAAACGAATAATGATGATTTCGATGCGTGTTCGGTGCTTCTGGGTGATAGCGTCGAGCATCGCAGCGATAGCGCTCAGGATGGCAGGAGTGATGGCGTCGACGGCAGCGACGGCGGCAATGAAGACGATGATGACGGGGATGGTGACAGGGCGTAGTGACACGTCGAGGAAGCTTGCCCGCGCCAGCGATGGCGGAATGTGGGCAAGACACTCTTTCCGACTTCAAAGAAACCGCGTGGGCCTGGCGGGTGGGGCAGCAGGCTGCTGCGACAGAGCGGGGGGGGAGCTCTTCCCCCTGCGCTGTACAAATATGCCGTGATCCTGGGGTGCGACTAGATGAAGCTTCCTCTTGGAAATCCCCGCAGATCGAGCGGCTTCCATTTCGATTTCCCAACGGTTCCCTCAGGTTCCAACGACTTCCGCTTATCTCCCGTCATTTCACTCTATTAACTCAGCATCAAGATCTAAACTGTCGCCTCGGATGTCGTCGCCAAGCCGCGCAAGCCTCTGTCCAGCTGTCCGGCGGATCCCCCCGAGTTGTCGTTGGCTCCCGCGGCTTGGCCAGGATGGCAAAGGCTTCCAGCCCTCCGACGCGACCGATTTGCCAGCGGAAGGCACGCACACATTGAAAACGTGAGCCTCCCCCTGTCTGTAGAGCCTCCGAGAGCTCCCCAAGCCTCTAGAATCCGGCAAAATCTGTCCACAGTCCCAAGACGCTTCCTCGCTCCTGTTTTTGCCCCCTCCCCTCCCGCAGCCCTCCTGCTCATCTTCTTCATTCTCCACGAGGTGCTCCTTCTCCTCCTCCATCGCCTCCTGCTGATCCTCCTCCTCCGCCTCCTCCTCCTCACCCCACCCTACACCTCTTCCTGCTCTTCCTCCTGCTCCTCCTCCTCCTGCTCCTCCTCCTACTCCTCTTCCTCCTCCGCCTCCTCCTCCTCCGCATCATCATCGTCGTCGTCAACCAACATCCTCATAATCAGCAGCAGCATCATCGACAGCAAGAACAACATCAACATCGTTATAACCACCCCACCACCACCACCACCATCATCATCATCATCATCATCATCAGCATCATCATCATCATCATCATCATCATCATCATCATCATCATCATCATCATCATCATCATCATCATCATCATCATCATCATCATCATCATCATCTTCATCATCATCATCATCATCATCATCATCATCATCATCATCATCATCATCATCATCATCATAATCGCTAATAACATCACCACCACCATCACCATCCTCATCAGCATCATCACCATCAGCAACAGCATAAACTTCATGATCATCATCATCGTGATCCTCATCATCACCATCATCATACTCATCACCACCGTCACCATAATCATCACCAGCATCATCATCATCATCATCACCCTCACCACCACCAGCAGCATCAGATCATCATCATCACCACCATCATCATCATCATCGTCGTCGTAATGATCATCATTATCATCATCACCATCATCATGATCATCACAATCCCCATCACAATGATAAGCATCATCCTCATCCCCATCCTCCTCAGCATCATCAGCATCGTCATCATCATCCGCAGGATAAGCATCAGCATCACCATCATCGCCATCATACTTGTCAACAGCATCATTGTCATCAGCAATATCACCATCAGCACCATCATCAATGGCATCGTCACCAACACCATCACCAGCATCACCTCCCTCCTCATCACATTCGTTACAATAGCATCATCGTACGCAGCATCAGCATTACCACCATCATCATCAACGTCAGCGTCATCATCACAACCGTCAGCAGCATCAGCGTTATCACCAGCAACAATAATCCTCATCGACCTGATCCGCATTGGCATTGTCATCATTGCAAGCACCATCATCATCAGCATTACGTTCACCCTCACCATCCCCAAAGCCATCATCATCATCAGCATCATCATCATCATCACCATCATCATCATCATCATCACCATCATCGTCATCAGCATCATCACGTCAAGCACCGTCACCAGCATCATCAGCATCATCAACATCATCAGCATCATCATAAGCAGCATCATCATCATCATCACCAGCATCATCAGCAGCATCAGCAGCATCATCACCATCAGCATCCTCACCGTCAGCAGAAACATCATCATCATAAGCACCCTCATCATCATCACATCACCATCAACATCATCGACAGCATTATCATCATCAGCAACATCATCAGCTCAGCAGCATCATCATCATCATCAGCAGCAGCAGCATCATCATCAACAGCATCATCATCATCATGATCCCCATCCTCCATCCAGCCTCCTCCTTCCCACAGGCAGCGTCCACCGCCCGCCTCCGCGCTGACCGTTGTGGACGTGGCCGACCACCTAGGCAGCGCCAACACCCCCAACGGCGTGGGCAGCGGACCAAGGTGGACTGACGAGGGCGGACGAAGAGCTCCTCCTCCTCCTCCTTATCCTCCTTCGCCCCGCCCTCCTCTTCATCATATCCTCCTCCCCATCCTCCTCCTCCTCCTACTCCTCCTCCTCCTTCTCCGTCACCTCCTTCTCCTCCTCCCCCTCCTCCTCCTCCTCCTCCTCCTCCTCCTCCTCCTCCGTCTCTTTCTCCTCCTCCTCCTCCTCCTCCTCCTCCTCCTCCTCCTCCTCCTCTCCTCCGTCCTCCTCCTCCTCCTCCTCCTGCCCCTCACCTCCCTCCTCCCTCCCTCCCTCCCCCTCCTCCCTCCCACCCTCCCTCCCCTCCTTCCCCCCTCCTCCCTCCCTCCCTTCCCCCCTCTCCCTCCCTCCCTCCATCCTTCCGCCCTCTCCCTCCCTCCCTCCCTCCTCCTCCTGCTCCGACACCCCCTCCCGCATCCCCCTCGCCTTCAAGGAAGATGGAGAGCGAAGGGAAGGGGAGGAGGACGACGCGGGACGGGACGGGGAGGAGGCGGAGAGAGGGCGAGGAGGGGAGTGGGAGGGCGGGGGAGGGGGGAGGGGCGAGGAGCGGGGGCGAGGATGAGGGGAGGACAAAAGGGGGGAGGTGCGCGGCATGGCGGGAAAGCGGAAGGAGGAGGAGGAGGAGGAGGAGGAGGAGGAGGAGGAGGAGGAGAAGGTGGGGAGAAGGAGAAGAGACGGACGAGAGGGAAGAGGGGGGGAATGAAGACTGAGGAGGGCGACGTGGGCATTGTGGGGGTGTTGCTCAGCGTGTCGCGGCGGCGGCCCCTACGAAACACACGATCCATGGCAGAGGTACCGCGTGCCGCTCTGCTGTTGGTGCCGGGAGGATGGGAACAGCTTGGAACGCAGACGCTTGTAGAGGAAAAAGAACTATGCACATGCACCGATTCTGGCCAGGCCCATCCTGAGCCCAGGATCGGTGCATACGCCCTCCTACCTTGGCCAGGAAGGCATATGCACCGATCCTGGGTCAAGGTTGGGCCTTGCCAGGATCGGTGCATGTGCATAATTCTCTTCGCCCAAGCTTGGTGACTGCGACGTGCTTAGCGGGCCGCGCCGAAACGATGTGGCCAAAACCGGCGGCATGACGCGCTGAGCAAACGCTCCTGGCCGTGCGGACGCAGGGGAGGAAGAGAGGGAGAAGGGAGGGAGACACGGGGAGAAGGATCACACCGGACCTGCTCCTTCTCCTGCCTACCCTTTCCTGGAGGGGGGGCAGGGGAGGGAAGGAGGACGAGGAGGCAGGATCAGGAAGAGGAGAACTAAGCTAGGAGGTTGACGAGGTGGGGACGACGAGGACCTTATCTCATCACCAGCATGGGAGAGAGGAGGGAGGAAAGAAAAGGAAGGAGGGAGAAGGAGCGCAAGAGGGAAGGGCGGAGCGGAAGAGGCAAGGAAGGGGAGGGGAGAGGAGAGCGAGCAGCAGGAGGAGGAGGAGGTGACGGAGGAGAAAAGGAGCAGGACAGATGAGGGGGGAGGTGGGAAAGGAGGAGGAGGGGGACCGAGGGGGCGAAGGAGGAGGACGAGGAGGAGGGAGGCGCGGAAGGATAAAGGAGTAAGAGAAGGGAATAAAGGGGAGGAGGAAGGGGGCCGCCATTCCGTCTTCCTCCTCCTCCCTCCCTACTGGGCTCCCCTCGTCCTTGTCCTCCACCTTATCCTTCTCTTCCTCATCACCCTTCTCCTCCTGGCCACCTGGCCATTCCACACCGTCGGCCTCGACTCGCTCACGGGGAGTGCACCACTGACGTTGCGGTGCACATTTACCTCCAATTCATCCGCCAACTTCCGTCCCCATCCCTGCAGTATGGTTTCCCTGCCTGGGCCTCGGAAGGATGGAGGGAGGGAGGGAGAGGGGGGAAGTATGGAGGGAGGGAGGGAGGGAGGGAGGAAAGGAGGGAAGGAGGGAGGGAGGGAGGGAGGGAGTGAGGGAGGGAGGGAGGGAGGGAGGGAGGGAGGTGGAGGAGGAGGAGGAGGAGGAGGAGGGACGGAGGAAGAGGAGGAGGAGGAGGAGGAGGAGGAGGAGGACAAGGAGGAGGAGAAGGAGGAAAGAGAAGGAAAGAGAAGGAGTGGCGGGAGGGACTAAGGAGAAGGGCGAGGAAGAGAAGATAGCAACGAGGAAGAGGATGCGGAAGACGAGGATTGAAACCAAAAACGGGTAACTACAATCAAAGCAAATGAAGTGTATTACACCAGAGAGAAAAGCCATTCAGTGGATGGCTTGCAAATTAGTGATATGGATATCGATCGTGAGACCGATAGTGAAGTCGATTCAGTGAGGTCGATAGTGAGATCGCTGGTGCGATTGCTCTTGCCATCGATAGTGAGATTGATTGTGAGACCGATCCTGAGATCGATAGTGAAATAGATAGTGAGATCGATCGAGAGGTGGGTAAAGACATCGATGGTGAGACCGATCGATAAAGAACTCAACCAGGAACCCGGGAACCCGGAAACACGGGAACCCCGCCGCCCACCGAAATCGGCCTGGAACCGTCTGGGACCAGAGGAGCACCATCGCCTGCGATGCAAGGCGTTGCCCTCTTCGGAACGACCCGGGTGGTGGTAGCGGTGACCGCTCTGACTGACTCCGGGCACCTGCTGCTCGTCGGCCAGCCTCTCGCCGGACAGGAGCTGCACGAACTCGGCCTCTCTCAGGCGCCTCCGCGCGCACGCGCGCTCTGGGCGCGAGACGGCGGACAGAGGCGCGCGGCGGCGGGCGGCGGCGGCGGCAGGCGCGGGCTGTCTCAGAGGCTCCCGGCGTGTGCGAAATCGTTCCAGAGGCCCTGAGCGTGCGTGCACAGGTCAAGTGCCAGGGCGGGCCCGGCGGAGGCGGACGACAGGAGGGGGACGCGCTGAGGTCGGGGGCCCAGGTTGGGTGGCTGCAGAGGCCAGGGATGGCGAGACGCGGGCGCCCAGCGCGGGCCCGGTCGGGGCCAGGGGTGGAGAGCAAGCCAGCTGCTTCTGGCAGCAGCTCCAGCCTGCTCCCCCTCCTGCGTGGTGGCACAATCCTCTCCGCTGGCAGACGGCCCCTGCCTCGCCGCCGGCGCAAAGACAACAATTCTGGCAGCAGCGAGGGGCGAGCGGCGGGCGGCCAGGGGGCAGCGGCAGGCGGCGCGAGAAGCGGCCCGGCCGCGGTCGGCAGCCCAGGGCGGCGGGCGGCGGGCGGCGCGGGGGCAGCCGGCAGGCAGCGGCAGCTGCGGTGGCGGCGAGCGGCGGCAGCCTGACATCGGCGAGAGGGCGGCGCCGAGCGCGGCCCGAGGCAGCGAGCACAGCGGGCAGCGAGAGGTCGGGGCGAGGCGGCGCGGCGGCGGCGCGAGGCGGAAGCGAGGTGACGGCAGCAGCGAGGCAGCCGCGAGGCGTCAGCGAGGCGGCAGCGAGGCGGCAGCGGCGAGGGGCGGCACGAGGCGGCAGCGCCAGGCAGCGAGAGGCAGAGAGCGGCTGCGCGTGCCTGGCACGGATGGGAGGAGGGAAGCCCGAAGGCAGGGCGGGACAGGCAGGGATGCAGATCAGGCCGAGGAGGAGGCGCCATGGCCTTCTGTTAGAGGGCTCCAAAGGGCTTTGGGGGGTACGACGCCGAGCTGAGACAAACGACGTCGACGGAGGACGACGACGACGACGACGACGACGACGACGACGACGACGACGACGACGACGACGACGACGACGACGACGACGACGACGACGACGACCGCGGCGACAGTGGAGACGGCAGCGGCGACGCCCCTGGCGCCTCTTGTCGCCGAGCCCGAGGCCGAAGACCGCGCTCTCCGCGTCGGGCCCGAACCTTGCGCCGAACGCTCGCGCGGGCGCCGCGGCAAAAGCGACGGCTGTAGCGACGGTGGCGGAGACGCCGACAGCGGCGGCGGTTGCCGCGGCGACAGCGGCGACGCTGGCTGCGGCGATCGAGCGAGAGAGGGCAACGGCAGCGAACCCACGCGCTGGGCCCGAACCTCGCGCGGGCGGCGGGGGAGCGCAGGGCGCCGCAGCGAGAGGGGGGAGCCCAGGGGGGGCGGCGAGGGGCGGAGGGAAAGGGGAGGCGGGGAAAGGGAACGGAGAGGGCACTGGCAGCGGGGAGAGGAGAGGGGAGGCGCCGCAAGCGCGCGCGCCTCGCCGCCAGCACGGTGTGGAAGCGCCCCAGGGCCTCCGCCGTCTTCCAGTCCAGGTCGGCCAGCTCCACCTCTGCCCGCGCGGCGGCGCCGGCGCTCACGCACGTGAGGCCCCAGCCTGCCCTCCGCAAGTGTTGCGGCTGCCCACGGAAGAGGTGGAGAAGGCGAAGCAGGAGGAGAAGACGCCGCCGGTGGTGCTGCCCACGAAGGAGGAGATGGAGGAGGAGGCGGAGGCTTTCTTCGGAGGCCCTCCAAGGCAGAGCAAACAACTGTAACTTTAGCTGCGTCGAGCCGCAGCTGCCGCCTCCTCGCGCTGGCGCACGCGAGCCGCCAGCGCCTCCATTCCCGCTGTTGGGATGGGGCGCGCGCTCGCAGGCGAGGAGGCGGTGCCGACAGGTGCCGCTGGTAGCAGCACGAACTTGGTCGAAGCAGGGCACGTCGTGCCCGACCCCGCAGCCACCGTCTCCCCCGAGCTGCAGTGGGGGCGAAGGACGCGCCGAATGCGGGAGAGGGCTCTTCTGCCACACGGTCCTGGCTCACTGTTGCAGCGGACCGCCAGCCTGAAACACTGCTCACGCGTGTGGGCGCCGCACCCGAAACAGAACACGAGCGGCTCGCACGTTGCGCGGTCTGGCGAAGGGCGGTGCACAGAACGTGGCCATGGGGGCTCGCCTTGTCGCGCACGCGGCACGTGGCCGTCGGGGGTCCTCTGCACCCGTCCATCGGTTGATATGCATCACAGCAAGCAGCGAACACACTGACTGCAACGAAACACGGGCGGGGCCAGGCCCCCAGAGCCGGTCCCAGGGTCCAGGCCGATCCAGGCGTGCCATCTCAGGGCACGGGGCCTAGGCACACGAGCGCCCGCACGGTCCCGAACAAGCTCCAGTTTAGGAAAGCACGAGGGGACAGCAGCATACATCATACATCAAAACCACCTTGCGGAGGATGGCGACCTCAGAGCCGAACTGCGCGAGCGCCTGCGCAGGAAGGCTGGGGTGCAGGGTCATGGTATGCTTCGCCAATCGATCTGCATCAGCATTGGCAAGGGCTACCTTGCGCTCAGGTGGGAGCAGTGCCTCGATGACTCCCTCCGACCTGTGAACCTGCACATGGGAAATCGAGGTGACAGAGTCTTGCCCATGTTCGGCAAGGGCGCGCCTACGGGGGCCAGCGAACACTTGATGAGGGCCCGCTTGCGACGAGGCCCGAGAAGTGGCCAGGAGAACGCCTCCCAGACAATCGCTGTGCACCTCCTTGCGGCCCGTGACGAGGCAACTGAGAATGGCGATGCCAAGGTGCTCGCCCGACTGGGGCGTCTGGAGCAATCCAGGCCAAACCGTCCCTCGGACCCTGGCACGGATTTGTACACGTCCCCAGGGGCCGGGAACACAGCAGCATACGTCGCCCTGTTCAGTTCCCGAGAGACACCTTGGCTCGCTGAACCATCCACCGCAATCTCGTCGTCGAGGGTGCGGGCACAACACTGCTCGATCGTTAGTGGCTCACCCTCGGGCCCTTGCAGGACGGGATCGAGGTCGAGACAAGGAGGAGGAGACGAGGGCCGAGTCGCTATTAGCCGAAACCAAAAAAAAAGTTTGGCTGGGTCGGCAGCGCGGGCTTGAGCTATCTCCTCGTCCGAGAGGTGCTCGCGCCTGGCAGCCGCGGGCTTAGGACTCTCGCAACAAAAAAACGATGCACCCGCGAGTCGGGCTGTCGGCACAGTGGACACAAACCATCACGTACATAGCCAGAGGCCTGTAGTCTATCTCCCGTCCAACGGCCCCCCGAGAAAGAAGCACACAGGTAGTACTTCCCCCGAGGTGTGATTCGCTTCGCTCTCAACATGCGTCGCCATGGATCAGGTGAAACACAAGCAGCATCGAAATATGGCAAGGCCTGCGCCATGCGACGCTCATGGGATCTCTGGACTCCTACCTCCAAGAGCTTAGTGACCATGGCAGGGGAGGTGTACAACAAATCAATGACGTACCCCCGCTCGTCGTGCAAGCACGGAAATCCCTGAGCTTTCCAACCGATCCGATGTAAACTGAGTAGCATTATATGTATGGGGTCTCGCGAAGACTTCCAACCTGCAAAGGTGATATCGAGCTCCCGGGACTCCACCGTGTCCCTCCAGATCTGGATGTGCTCTCGGAACGAGAAGGGCGAGGTAATGGGATGGGTCATCGAATGCCGAATGCTAGAGGCCCATTGGAGTGCTGGGGCTACCGAATGCTTCCAAACTGGGTCGCCGCGGAAAACCAACTTCGCCATGAGCGACGCTCTACGATGTGCAGGGGTGCGGCCAGCCAGCCGGGTGCGCTGCGTGGCTTTGAGCCCCGCATAGGAGAGGCCAAGAACCATGGCTCCATAGCCAGCAGCGGGGCGCACTCCTGTTACATACATCTTACGCCGCACAAAAGGCGACGGAAAAGGATAAGGAGGAGGATGGAGGGGGAGGCTCCCAAGAGTGTCAGCGTTGCATTTTTTGTTATATCAACATATATATGTATATATATATATATATACAAGACTGCATTGGCGCTGCGCGCCATGCACCTTGGTCCTTTGAGTTCTGCACGCAAGCGGAATGCGTGCGTACGTACATGCGCGCATGCATGCATACACGCGCAGGTGCATGCACGTTCCGTACAAATGTCTCGGTGTATACAATATACTTACATTGTTGTATGTGTACAGCGTACATATGCATCTTCGCTGCATGCCACGAGACCTTCAACGACTGGGTCACAATGTGAAATGTCATGGGAGCAAAATCAATGAATGCTGGCATTCGGAAGCATCGTGGGTGTGTTTTCGGGGCCCTCGTGGGCCGTTTTGGCGCCTTCATGGGCCGTCCTCCTGGGGCCTTCTTGGGCCGTCTTGGGGAGCTTGGGCCCGCTGGGGCCCCCTTTGGACCCATCTTGGGCACTTCCGGGGACATCCCATGGCCCTTTTGGGTCTGTGCTGGGAGCCCTTGGGGGGCCTCTTGGTTCCATTATGGGCTGTCTTGGGGCTCTCGTGGGGCCCGGCTCGGCCGCCGTCTTGAAGCTTTCTAAGGGGGCCTTTCGGAGCGCCTTGAGGCGATCTCGGGGGCTTTGAAACCGTCTTGAAACCTGATGAAATCCGAAAGGCGAATATGTTAAAATTGTAAGTTGTACGAAAGGAATGGGACGATTTTTGTGTTTTGAAAGACCCTTGGGAAGCTTTTTGGGGTGCCTTGGGGGTCTTGATGTTGGCATTCGGAAACATCGGGGGGTGTTTTCGGGGCCCTCGTGGGCCGTTTTGGCGCCTTCATGGGCCGTCCTGGGGCATTCTTGGGCCGTCTTGGGGAGCTTGGGCCCGCTGGAGCCCCCTTTGGACCCATCTTGGGCACTTCCGGGGACCTCCCATGGCCCTTTTGGGTCTGTGCTTGGAGCCCTTGGGGGGCCTCTTGGTTCCATTATGGGCTGTCTTGGGGCTCTCGTCGACCATCGTGGGGCCCGGCTCGGCCGTCTTGAAGCTTTCTCGGGGGCCTTTTGGGTCGTCTTGAGACGATCTCGGGGGCTTTGAAACCGTCTTGAAACCTGATGACATCCGAAAGGCGAATATGCTAGAATTGCAAGTTTTTACCTAACAGCGAAGACTGATAGGTTTCTAGTGGGATCAAAAGAGAGCAGCAGATCACTCCACAGGGGGGTCCGGGCAGGTGTTGGGAGTTGCCGGGCGGCAGGTGCCGGGTCGCCGGGCTTCGTTTTTCTGAATACGGATGCAACAGTCACACACTTCGTGCTCTTCGAGATCCCAGAACGCCATTCCCGGGCCACATTCTGGAGGGCCGGATGCAACAGTCACACACTTCGTGCTCTTCGAGTTCCCAGAACTCCATTCCCGGGCCACATTTTGGATGCCCGGAGCCAACTGTAGGCCACTTCGTGCTCTTCGAGTTCCCAGAACTCCATTCCCGGGCCACATTTTGGATGCCCGGAGCCAACTGTAGGCCACTTCGTGCTCTTCGAGTTCCCAGAACTCCATTCCCGGGCCACATTTTTGCCCGGAGCCACTGTAGGCCACTTCCTGGTCTTCGAGTTCCCAGCCCGGCGCCAACTGTAGGCCACTTCGTGGTCTTCGAATTCCCAGAACTCCATTCCGGGCACATTTTGATGCTCGGAGCCAACTGTAGGCCACTTCGTGGTCTTCGAATTCCCAGAACTCCATTCCCGGGCCACATTTTGGATGCCCGGAGCCAACTGTAGGCCACTTCGTGTTCTTGGACTTCCCAGAACTCCATTCCTGGGTATGATTTTGAATGCCCGGAGCAAACTGTAGGCCACTTCGTGTTCTTCGAGTTCCCAGAATTCCACTCCCTGGCCACATTTTGAATGCTGAGGCAGGCTGATGCTGAGGCTGAGGCAGGCTGAGGCTGAGGCAGGCTGAGGCTGAGGCCGAGGCTGAAGGCATACTGAGGCTGAGGCTGAAGCAGGCTGAGGCTGAGGCTGAGGCAGGCTGAGGCTGAGGCAGCTTGAGGCTGAGCTCCATCTTGATGCCGTCTGAGGCTGAGGCATCTTGAGACTGGAATCCAGGCTGAAGGCAGATTGAGGCTGATGCTGAAGCAGTGCCGAGGCTAGGTGGTGTCTGATGCAGGCTGAGGCTGAGGGCTGAGGCAGCTGTATGCTGGAGGTCAGCTGGAGGCTGAGGCTGTATGCAAGGCTGAGGCTGAGGCAGGCCGAGGCCGAGGCCGAGGCTTGAAGGCAGACTGAGCTGAGGCTAAGCAGGCTGCGGCTGAGGCTGAGGCAGGCTGAGGCTGAGGGCTGAGGCAGGGCAGGCTGATGCTGCGGCCGAGGCAGGCTGAGGCTGAGGCAGGCTGAGGCTGAGGCCGAGGCTGAAGGCAGACTGAGGCTGAGGCTGAAGCAGACTGAGGCTGAGGCTGAGGCAGGCTGAGGCTGAGGCTGAAGCAGGCTGATGCTGAGGCAGGCTGAGGCTGAGGCTGAG